TCACTAGGGACTTTCATCTAGTAAATGCAATTGAATGTTAAGTGCTGAATAAATATGCAAGGAAAGGCGTAGAAACATTACGTATGAAAAGCACTGCAATCAATTTTTATATAAAAAATAGCGAAAAAACAGGCCTACTAAAACAAAATAAGTAGTTAATTATATTTGTTAAACAACATTATAGTTTATAAGGAATCCTTGCCCAAAAGGGAAATAGTGTTCATTTTTCCCTCAGCCGCACAAACTGGCTCTTCGATAAAATATTTGAAAAGAGTGTCACCTTATGTATATGTCTCACAGGCGCGCTGCTTACATTTCCGTATTCGAATGGCTGCTCAGAGACACGGCCTCCTGATTAAACATATGGCGGATCTTGGTCTCCAAGCTCTGCAGAATACTTTTCAAAATTGGCAGCTTTTGCTTGTCCTCTTCAATTGCCTCCTCAATGGCGATTCTGTGACGCAACATTCGATCGCGATGTTGTTCCAACTCAAATTTCCTCACGTCTGCGACGTCCTAAATGGGTGATCAAACGTGTCGTCAATGTATGAACAGGGAATTTGATGGTCGATGCTCGTTCCTCGATGAAAACCGCACTTACCTCGCGAATTCTCGCTTCCCTCGGCCCAAGAATCTTTGTCTGTAAGGTGTGGGCAGCATTTTCGTCGGACACCTCCTGCAGGGCACGTTCCTCGGCTTCCTTTACACAATCCGCCATCCACTGGTCCAGGACAAACAGGCATTCCTTCAGTGGCGCATAAAGAAATGGAAACGAGATCAGCTTTAGCAATACACTCAGAAACGGCGATCTTCAAATTTGAACAAAATAAAAGTAAACAGAGATGTGTTGGTTCCAATAAATTTCGCGGTGGCTTTCCAACTGCAATCCGTCTTTGCATTTGGCATACGTAAAAACAACCGACAGCCAACTATGCGCGCCCTTGCTATGTTCGAGGGAGTGGTCTTTGGCATGTCCGTGCGACCCAAATTGGAATTTGCCATCCAAGCCTGAAGACCTTGGAAGGTCAAAGGCCGAAAAACTCTTGAAAGGGTCCAACGACACGCGATCAAATTAGTGCGAGGCCAAGGGTATCGCTCTCTTGAGACACGATTGGTTAATCTTCAGTTTCCTCTGCATTACCAACAGCTACGCGGTGACATAATTCAGGCATTTCGCATGCTGCGGGGTCAGGATTGTTGCCTCAAATCAGGTGATTTCTTTGAGTTGGCCATCCGTGGACATCTTTAAGACGAAGCTTGATCAGTACAGCCTTACGTGTCACCACGTCAGCTAAAACAGCCATGAGCTTCTCTGAAACCAAGCATTTAAATGCTAGCAATACGCTACTGGCTATTTAAAGTGGTAGTACTATTTACTCTAAGTCTTTCCATCATGCACAGTCCAATAACTTCATGCCACCTCCTTCTCATTATGCGAGCTGCAACGATCATGTCGACAGTCACCTCTACCGAAACTATGGCCCTGGACTACGCGGCATCGTCACGTTCTCTCTATTATCTACCTAAAAACCAACTGTTGACGACCGTGGCGGTTTTGTCTGTTTTTCTCACCTTATTGGCAGACGCGGCAAAAGGCAAGAGTGTATCATGGTCGCATCTACGGTTCTTCGGATGTTCTCGTGACTCTGCGGTCTCCTCCTCGTGTGGCCCTTCGGATAAAGATATACATCGCGATGGGTTCCCCTGACTTGCCGCCAACAATTCACAGAAGCATCCTGCTCCTATCATTCACATACTTTCCCCCACGAGCGAAAGTTTATCGCCTAAAAACCACAAATGACATTCCATTTTGAATTACGAGCCATGCCTTAGGAGTTTTTTTCGCTGTCTGTTCTTCTTGCTCAGTTACACTGCTGGTTCGTGTTAACTGCCATCGCCAAATGTGAGTGTTTTACTTGAAACAAACGAGTAGTCGCCTACAATTATGTAACCGGCCTTCTTTGAAATGTTCGGCTGTGTCGATGCATTTCTTAACTACTGTGTACCAATAGGGAGTTCAAAGGTGTTGTCTATATTTCCTTTACTAAACTTGATTTGACTTCACCCTGCGCTACTTGGAAGCAGCCTACATACGCCGCGAGAAACCCGGCCTTTGCAAGCAGCTAGACCATGTGATCAATCTCGAACTGCCCTGGTAATCGGATGCCTTCCCTTCCTTAAATTGTTGTGTGCTTCCACTCGTTATCTGTGTTATGCAAAGATGGGTTGCAGTTGAAAAGCCGTCGCGAAATTTATTGGAAACAATAAATCCTGCTGCTTACACCTGTTTTAACTTTGTACTCCGGGAATAAATGCTTCAAAAGGTGTGTTACCAAAACCAAATGATGCCTTCTGATAGCACAATGCGTATTATGGCAGACTGCTCTCGAATTCGCTTTGTGACGAGGAAGAGGCTTTCCATTGACACTGGCAATTCTCTTATTGATCCACAACCAGTCGATTATTCGCAAAACACAATGCAATAAATGGCTGCTGATTTGTCGGTTAGTTTCTCGAATGAAGCGTGATCACAGCCTGTAGCCGTTTCGACACCAAGCGAGGTAACAGGCATCAATGAACATTATTTCCATGTACAGTACCCACTTAATACAGTTCCCATCGGAAACGGTTTTCTGGCGGAGCTTGCAGTGTCCGAATACGTTCCCCGTCTAACACTCGACAGTTTGGCCGAATAGACCACGAGTTAATAAAAGACATTATCAGAATACGGTCTTTGTTATCTCCTACACCATTTACATGTGTCATCCTAGAAAAACAGACCATTTGGTAATTATTTAATCTATTTTGCAAGCGGGGCAACCGTCCCTACCCGCCATTTTGCCATGGCCGTATTGGAGATCGGACCATATTGTAATATTGGAGAGCATATTAAGACGACAGCTCACTGAAGTCCATGACAGCAGTGGCCACGCTGACGCGCAATTGATACCATTGGTGGCTGTCTCAGCTTGATCGGGGGGGGAAGAAAGTGGAGTGGGGTGGTGCCCTCATAAGCAGTATGTAACGCCACGATAAACCACAGCCCCAGACTTCTGAAAGATGCGATTTCAAGAACGCATCGTCGTTACTGTTAGGAGCAGGTCTAGCCGACTCGTTCGCACGCTGGACTTTCGATCGGCCTATAGGCCGCGCGCGTCATGATATCGTGCAGATTAGTGCTCTACCCAACCATTCGGAGAATTCGGAAAGGCAGTCGACATGCTAGCCCCTCAAGGCCACTATCCGATTGGTCCAGTTATAGTCCAACCTTGTAAATACGCGTATGCCCATTTTTGGCCTTAAATGCGTTGTACTAAGTACATCAATACACTTCCATTCTTCCGCTCGTGTTGTTGAGATCTCCCCTGGGGATTTTATCCGAGCTTTGTTGGACGGGTAAATATCGAGGCTTATAACACTTTCTGACAGTATGGAGGAAGCGAACTCAGGCAGCACGCTTAAATGGGCTAAGTCTTTGAAACGTTATTTCAAGTGGTTACCTTGGGTCAAGTACAAAAAGTTTAATATTGAACCCTTTCTATGCAGAATTGTATGTGGTTGTAAGGTGTATACTACTGACATGTAATTGATAAAGCATGAACCTTATATTTTAATGGTTCAATCACTTCTTTACAGGACTTTCAAGCACAGTCAAAACTTTAAGATAGGCAAGGAGAAGGCGTATCGATCACCGGAATCACAATTTTACTCGTCTGAGTTTCCGGGCTCTTTCTGGAGTCCATCGTCAAAGACTAAAGGCGTCCAGGAAAGACAAGCCCGAAAGTTCAGACGAGTAAAATTATGATTCCGGTGATAGAAACGCCTTCTCCTTCTATATCTACACGCAAACATGGGATGCAAATATTTTCCTTAATTCATGAAAATGTTAAGAATATATTCGCGATGGAACATCAGTTCTTTAAAACAAATTAAGAAATGGTCTCGTTTTAGATAACTACAGCAAACGAAACACCCAACAATCTGTAATACGGACCGGTGGTTATAAGGGTCAGATGGGTGGGGCATATCGGAGAAAACAAGAAATAATTAAAAAACTAGAACGTATAAAAGTAGAAAGTAATAGGAATAATTATTTAAATAAGCTATTTTTGACGCGCGATAATTCAAAGGATAAATACGGCCAAGCAGTAAGAACTGATTACCTCGCGAACATTTCTCTTGAATTGTATTATAAGCTTATGCAGGACCGTGGGCTCCATGATCGGAAACTCCTTCAGCGTCTCGATATACATCTGATCTTTGCTGGTTGGGAAAGAACACAACATTGGCGCAGAAGTACCCTCTTCGGTTCTAGGAGACCGCAACTTCTTCTTGCTGGTGGGCAGTAACCATGCAAACCGCGGCATATCATCAAAATCAGCCAACAAGCCGGCGCTGAGCACCCCCAGTGGAAGCTCCCGCTTGAGTGCGGAATCCAGGCTACTTAGGGGTTGAAAACCGGATGTGTAGGGCTTCCTCTCGCGGGCGTAGATTTCCCGACGAATTTCCTCTTCAGTCAGTGTGTAGAATACTGCCGTCGGCGTTAGTGTGAATTTGGTAACATCTTGCGAAGCGTAGCGCCTCCTGAGTGGTTTAGGCTCGGAAAAACCGAGATACTTTTCGAAAATTGGGGGCAAGATCTCCTGAAATGTAAGGTATGTCGCAATTCACTAAAAAATGATCAGTTTCGAATCCCGCTATGGTCATTTCCCATTGTAAATATAATCTACCCATACGATTTGACCTTACATACATACATATGAAGTGGAACCAACGAGGACAAGGA